GGGCATCCCCGCCCCTGGGCGCGCAGCATAGGAACAGCGCTGGCCCCAGGCGCGCGGTGCATGGGCACTGCCGGCTCCTTGGTGCATGGCACAGGTGCCAGCTCCGGGCGTGCAGCTCCTGGGCGGGGGCATGGCGTATGGGTGGCCCCATCCCCGGGCACATATGCAGCCCCGCCTCTGTGCGCCTGGCACAATGAATGGCCCCACCCCCTGGCACCCGGGAGCCCCAAAAGGTTGGGGTCCACTAGTCTAAAACCATTTTGAGGGAACAGGTACATTTTCAATAGCCAAGTGTCAGATTATTTTGGATTGCTTGATGTGAAGTCCAAATATGTTGTTTCAATAAGGCACCAATATTTCATTTTGATTTCCTGGATTTCATTCATTTTGATATTCTACGTTAAATATATGTCTAACATGTTTCAACATTATAAAAACAAAATGTTCTGAATCAAACTTTTTTTGGAATTTCCATGCTGTGAAAAGGTTCAAAAACTTGACTTTTTGTTCCCAAATAAATTTCAGAATGTTGGTATTTTCTGCAGGATGGAAATTCCCCTTTCTAGCCAGCTCTGTGGAAAGTGTATGTCCCCTGGTACAGAACACCTCCCAGACTGAGCAAGACTTGAATTCCTAGTGTGCTCTAATAGAAACCTCTGGAAGAGAAGCAAGGTGACAGGATGCTAGAGACCCAAGTACATGTATGTTCTTGGTGTTGCGCAGATATCACACATTCTCTCTCCCTCCTTGTGGCAGTTGTATGTGGTTCCAGTTTATTAGTATGAATAGTAACACTATCAAGGTGAGCAGTCCATAAGTGTTATTTTGTCCATAAAATTAGTGTAAAAAGGTTGTGAATTGTAAATTGTCCCTGAAGTGAAGTGTTTCCAGGAAGGAGGTGTGAGATGAGGCATGCTTCCTCCCATACAGAGTGTAGCACTCCAATCTGCCTACCTGGCAAGGGAGAGAGAAGAGGGCACCCTAAAATCCATGGCCTGCTATGCACTATTTAGCACACTGATCAGTCACCCTCTCCAATGAACAGGTCAGGATTTTTGAAATCATGAGTGTGTCGGTGTAACACTGACCAACAAAACTTGCAAGATAAGAGGTGGTCATGGGGACTTACTGTTCTGCACTCAGTTGAAAATTTCTGACCCTGAAAACCTGGCATGAAGATCTCCAGGCAGCTATCTGGTAACTTCTGTGAATGCTGTTTTTAGTCTTAGATTCTTAAAATGTTAAAGCTTGCTGCTGGTTGACTTTTTTGCTGTGGCAGGGCAGTAGCAAAGACTGCCTTTAGCAAGGTATGTCTGTAATGTGCATTTATTGTTTTGAATGTATAGTACTGATAATATATTACGTGCTATGAATGTCTGATCAGCATATTTACAGATCTGTGTTTTGCATGTGTTTTTCCTTGATCACGGAACAGGAATTGTCTCTCATTGCAGTGACACAGCAATGATTCCCTCTTCTGTGCTGCTAGATGGAGGAGATGAAGCAGAGTGTTGTATTTTAAGATTTCCAGATTTGGACTTGAAGGATCCTTTACCTTTGGCAGCCAAAAGCAACCACAGAGTGGAATTAGATACCAGTGTGAGGAAGAAATATGCATTTGCCAGGAAGAAGGTACATTTTAGTACAGTACTTTTTTGGGTATGTTCTTACTTCAGAGTATGCAATTGCACAGTTTCTTTGTTATCTTGTAAGAACTGGCTTTACAGAGTTCCTATCTCATTCATGCTACACCCTTAATTCCTGTTATAGTAATACATTAAAAATAATCTGGCTCCATTGGTATCGTATTTAAATTAAAGGGGTATGCAATGAATTCCTTTAAGGCTCTCAAACCCTCCAGATTACAGTACTCCTTGCAGGTGTCTGATTTTTCTTGTGTACAGCCATGTTTCACCTCACTTAAAAACTATTTGCTTACAAAATAGACATACAAATACAAAAGTGTCACAACATGCTCTTGCTGAAAAACAGCTTACGTTCTCATTTTTACCATCGAAT